GTTGTTCTGCTTGACAATAAAACAGGGGCTCGCGTGGAAGGAGATCAGAACTTTCTGTGAACGGCTGATGGAAAGTTCTCCTTTTGCAAAAGCTTTGTCTATAAAATTCATATACGTTGTCTGTGGTCTTTTTATATAGGTTCGAGAAAAAGTACCTATCATTTGGTGCCGAAAGCCCGGGATCTCTCAACCCCCCCGCTGACAGGCAGAGGAAGACGCGCTGAATCCGTGCACGGCCAGAGTCAACTGGACCTGGAAAGAAAGACCCAGGAAGCAAAATTCTTTGCTGGGCCAGCGACGTAGGTCCGACTTTGTCTGCCAACGGCGGAGTGACGAGATCCGACTGGACAACCCGAAAACTACAGAAACGTAGGTGAATTTTAAAACTAAAGAAGTTATAAAGGTTTGAGTCCCAGTTGACAGAGTTTCAACTAAAGCCAAAAGGTAAGGCTCTTAGAGCCCCTTTACTTCGAGGACACCCCTTAAGGGCAAGTCCTCATGTAGATAGGAAGCTTGTTATTACTGTTCTGTTATTACTGTGCTGATATTGGTGTTTTGTCTGCTGCTTTGTTGATGTGTGTGTGAAGGAGTGAATGGTGCTTCTTTCTCTGGGAGTAAAGCTCTCTGTCTTCAGAATTAGAATCCAAAGTGAAGAACCGCTTGGAAGCTCGGCTCCAAGTAGAAGCCTGTTCTTCAGGAGGCACTGAGCGCTGACCTACGGCACTTTCTCTGAGAAAGCACATGATACCAAAATTTTCAAGCTAAAATTGCAAGTGATTTAAATAATGGGAAACACAAATTCTTGTAATTCCTCCCTGTTGAGGGCCCCGATGGGGATGAAAAGTACATGCTGTCCAGATTTCCTGGTAGCACTGTACACATGAAAAAATGGAGAAAGAAATATAAAATAGATGGGAAGCTAAAAATTGATCGATGGCAAACAATTGTGGGAATTTTGGAGAGTAGTGTAGCAAGAAGGAGGATGAGCTGAGGTGTGCTAAATTATGGTTAAAAGCAGCTACAGACCGGAAAGAACAAATTAAAAAGGTTAAAGACAAAAATTCGTAGAAGCAAAAAACCTATTTGTTAGACCGAAAGATAATAAAGTCATTCTAAGCACACGGAATGATGTAGCGGTGCAGGGAGCACAAGCTCCAGCAGCTGCCCCTCCCTCCGCCGCTGCAGCAGCTCCGTCTGCCCCAGCCTCAGCCGCTGCAGTCGCAGCAGCACGACTGTACCCCTCATTAGAGGAAGGGGCACAAAACTTATATGTTTTTACACCCTGGACCTTAGAAGAAGCCATTAAGGCTGTGAAAGGATTAGATGTTTTTCACCTGGATGAATTTGGAGGTTTAGAAACCTCTGCTTTTTCCAACGGCCGGACGAAAGGATGCGGAAGAAGCAGAGGCAGAGGAGATCACAATAGGCGACGACCCCAAAATAACACCCCACAAAATCCACGGCATTTAAATGGCTGCTGGACTTGTGGCAATACTGGCCACTGGTCAAGAAACTGCCCTTCAAAGAATGCTGCACAGGGCAACAGGAGGGGTGATGGAGTGAGGGGACCACAAACTGGAGAAATCCTCAGCATGATCAGACTCTACCTGTCATGGTAAGGTCTAGTTTTCGCACCCACATGCAAGAACAAGATCAGGAGGTGTGTTCGAATAATGATTAATTTTAATGAGAACAAAGGTAAATAAAAAGTTGATCAGGATTCGGAGGAAGGGACCGGGTCTTCTGTCTGTCAACGAGAGGTAAGTAGTTAAAGGTGGATTCAGGGGTCATGGGAATCTGTGCTGCAGGCAGATGATAGGGCGTCTTACTTTCTGGAGAGTGCGTCGGGATCCTGAACCAGATGTGGGGAATGGAGGAAAATCCAGGCACCGGTAGGTTGGTGAGGTGGAGGACGCTGGAGGGCGGAACAGGCAAGTTTTACTGCGGGAGCGGCGGAGCTGGTGGCCGACAGGGTCCGGGTGGAACCTCGCGTCCAGGATAAGTAGCGACCTGCAGGTACTACCCGTGGGCCTGGTAGGATATCCTCTGGGGCAGGACCGGGAGGGATTGTGCACAGAATAGTGCGGCCCACTGGGACCCCGGTGGCTCCACGAAGGGAACTCAGGTGAACCAGGAAGCGGCAGAGTCACAGGAGCTCTGAACAGCAACGGGTAACTCCTGAACGAGGAAACACAACGAATGATTAAACAGGGTAAATACTCAGGGGGCCTCTCAGAGAAACGTTTACCGTAGTAAGCTAACACTCAGGCACTGAAGAGTCGACCAGCCGCTTCTTAAATACTGCACCGCAGTCATCTCCAAATAGACAACAGGTGTGTCTACCGGATTGGAGAACGCCTCTCCAGGGACCCAACCACCCGACGACACCTGGTGGAAAGGGAAGGAAGCAGCAGGCGCACCCAAACAAACAAAATCCCTCAAAAAAAAAAGGAAACAAAATCAAACAAAGCTCGGGTCATAACACTACCACACCCCAAAAAGACAAACCACCAGACTAAATTGATGAAGTGGTGAACACATGTGCAGCTTGTTACACGTTAAGTAAAAAATAAATAAATAAAAGAAATTGAATTCCTGTATGAAACCAGTGCATGCAAAACAATTTTTAATGTTACTAAAAATTAGGTTTAAACCTCAGAAGTCAGAAATAATTACTTTTAGGAAACACTGGTGTTTGTTTTGTTTTTTAGCGTTCCTACACTTTCAAAGAAAAACCAGTTGAGAGACGTCTCACCGAAATAAAAACATGGGAACAACTTCTTTGTATGCTGAAAGTGGAATTATGACTTTCCTGAAGGAGGAGAAGCTGAAAGATAAAATAATAAAATTCTCCTCTTTGAACAATGTTTAATGTATTGTGTCGTAATCAGATTACAACACCAACTTGGTGAGATGATCCTTTGGCTGTATAACTGGAGGGGTCAGAGGTCAGAGTAAGGTACCGACCTGGACATTATCCAGCCTCATGTCTCTCTTAGGCCTTTTTGAGAGGAGGGCTGCCCGCTGACCTCACAGTCTGCAGCACTAAGATCGACAAATTTAGAGAAATCCATTGTTCTCTGGTGAGACGTGATTCAGATGGAGTTAACAAACTTATATTCTACACTATAAAATTTAATATTGTACAGGATAAAAGAGACTACAGCTTTTAACATGTTTCATGTTTATATGTGTTTGAATAAAGAGGATTTATGAGTTCTTAAAAAGTTGGATAATAAGTGGCTAAAAACTATAAAATTAAAAGAAAGAAAAGTTACATGGACAATGTTTGTAAAAAGGAAAAAAAAGACACAGAAAGCCGAACAAACCCTAACTGACTCTTATTTGCTTCTGGGGAAGCGAGACAGAAAGGAGAAATGCAAGATAAGTTATACACACACCACTGTGATAAAGAATGTGCTCACTAATCCTGTTTGCATATAGGAATAATCTACCCAGAAAAGAACATTTTAAAGGTTTTTAGGTACAATGTTAGATAAAATCATTCATTTTGTACCCGTTAACTCAGTCCTTAACAGAAGGACCAGTGATCCTCTTAGGGCCCACGAGCCATAGGTTGGGAAACTATGAAGAAGAAAAATTATAATCATTAAAAGTTAAACAAAAAAAAAGACTAATAGAGCTATGCAACTAAATTACACCAATTAAAGAAAAAAAAATTTATTAGAGATTCTAAGCAAATAGTGATTTTCAAATGTTTTATTTACTAGTTTGGAACTAAATTAAACATCTCTACATGTTGAAAAAAATTGATATTGCAGTGTTGAAATATTATGAAATATTTTGTTGAATTTAACTGAAAGATTTAATTTAGAGTTTAATTCTATAAAGAATTTACAAATCGATTGTTTTTGTGGGATTTTAAGCAACTTGGTAGATATTAATGGCTACTAAAACTTGATGATTGTGAATAAAAGCAACATTTTCTAGATTTCAGTCTAAAACATTTTAATCTAGATTTGATTGATAGTCAATAAATTCAAAAAGAAAAATCTTGAATTAGAGGATTTGAGATTTGGTTAAATTAAAGATGGACATTTTTATTCTAGAGAAATTAGATAGAAATGTTGAAAGTTGCTGAGTTTAACAAAGAAAAACCAAAATATAAACCTGCAATTATAAGACGTGTCCGCTAAAATATCTTCTATAAACCTATGAGTTCACCTGAATTAAATATTAATCCTCCCAAAGACTTTATTTGAATCTTAAGTGATTGTGACACATGGGCAATGCCATGTGTAAAAAGGGGGGAAAAGGGAAAATGGTGAGGTAATACTATATAACTACTAAATTCTTACATAAAAAATTTTTTGTTATGAACTTTTGAGTTAACAAATACTGTTAGATGATGATTGATGCTTTTTCTAAATGGGTTGAAATAGTTCCAGCAAAGCATGCAGATGCTTTGATGGTAGCTAAGGCTATCTGCAAAACTATATCCCAACACACGGCATCCCACAGACTGTTTATAGTGACAAGTGATACAAAACATGGCTACACACTTGGGAATGACATTGAAAAACCACTGTGCCTATCACCCACAGAGTGCAGGGCTGAACAAATGGTACTGTGAAAAGCAGATTAAGTGCATGGCAGACACTGGCCGGCCCTGGCCAGAATGCTTAGATTTGGTGAAGCTCTATATGAGAATCACCCCAACAGCTGATGGTCTGACACCTTTTGAAATAATTCATGGGAGAGCTTACAGATTGCCTCTGTTTTCTCCTGACTTACAGAAAGCTGATGAAGAACAGACATATGATCAGGACTCTTAAACTGAAGGAAGTGTCCAGAACAAATTTACTGCCTTCTGATTCTCTCCCTTTGCAGGAGGTCGCTCCCATTGAGCCAGGAGACTGGGTCTACATAAAGGTCATCAAACGAAAGAACTGGGCGAGTCCACGGTGGGAAGGACCGTTCCAGGTGCTGATGACCACACCAACAGCTGTAAAGATTGCTGAAAGACCCAGCTGGATACATCTCAGTCACTGCAAGCTGCTGAGAGTGTAGGACCCCTAATCCGGAGTGGGGGGAAGTTCTGGCTACACAGGGGTTCCATTTTTTAGGGTGGTTCGTCTCAACGCCAGTGAAGAAACTCCACGCATCCTCACCCTTTAGTTTGGGGGTTCTGACATCTCTGCACGCCGAGCAGCAATGGGGACTCCATATGCCAGATGGATCTTCTACTGCACTGTGACTGCAGCATGTCTGATGTTTGGAGGAGGAAGTGACCTCACTTTCTACCCACATGACTACAGCACCAACCTGTAGTGGCAGCTGATGAACAGGACTGCTCACGAGGAGAACGAGGTGAACTGCTATGTGTGTGCGCAGCTACCAATCGCCACACACAACTCAGGTCTGCACCCAGAGAGCATCACTGATGACAAACAGATGTGTCTCTATGGCCTGAGCACACAACTACGACTCAGCGTCCCCGTGAAAAGAAGAAAATGCAAATGGTGCAAAAAGGATTTTTCTGTTCTACTTCGGACAGGAGATGCCACAAAAGGACTTTTTGGATCTATGAACTGTTCATTTAAGGCTGACATACTTCCGTTTCCACCGTTTCCACAAGCCACATGGAAAATACCAGAGACCATTTCTTTAGCAGGAGCTAAACCCGGGTCTCTGAGGAGCTGCGTTTTCAACAACGGACACGTTCCTCTTGGCATGTTACCTTGGAACCTGTGTAACAAAGTTTACACCTACTGCGACACGACACAGGATTTCATCAACTGCATCGCCTGCAGGGGTCAGAGGGCAACCCCCGGCTGCAGAGTCTGGAAGGACAACCCAGACTGTGACAACTTGCTTCGAGAGAAAAATTTATGCAAGGCATGTTTCCATGGGTCGGAGTAGGTGAGATTCGAAGCCACGTTGAGATCAACAGATATGGATTACTGCGACTCATCAACAGTACACACCAGCTGGCCAACGGCACCGTGAGAGAGCTGACTGAACTGAGAAACATGGTTCTGCAAAACCGTGTTGTACTGGACCTGCTCACAGCCTCTCAGGGAGGTGTTTGTAAAATCATTGGCCCAGCGTGCTGCACTTTTGTTCCTGACGAAACAGGAACTGGTGGAACTATTTCTGATGCTCTACATGAACTGGAGGACCTTAAACATTACGTGGAAAGTGGAACACAAGGATCATCTCCTTTTGACTTTCTTTCTTGGCTCTCTTCCGGACCATGGTGGATTTACTGTTGAAGCGTGGAACACCTATTCTGGGTGTTTTGATTCTTTTTTGCCTGTTCACAAGCTGCATTATTCCATGCCTTCGAAGCATGATGCTAAAGACAATTAACACTGCTGTGATCAGCTATCAGCTGGTGAAAATAATCTATGACACAAATGAAGACGACTTGTTTTCTGATGATGAATTTCTGTAATCAATAAACAGATGAGTTCATTTGCTGAATGATTCCTACACCAAAAATGTGAAAACAAGTGGAGTTAGTGAGGAGAAAACTGGATTTGATTTTTTGCTGTTTCTTTTATTTTTCATTTATTTCATTATATTCCATTTATTCATTGTGTATTTTCTGTTTAGATTAGAAGAAAAAAAAATGAATCTTGCATTTATTGGTTATATTCTTTTATTTTCTTTTTTCTTTTATGTACTTTTAATGAAGGTTCGAAAGGAAAAATACCCATCACCTATTTACTCAGAATCACTTTGAAATCTTTCTACTAGTCTGTATAGGTGAGGCACAGTCATTTGTTTTCCATTTTAAGTCATTTTCTTTTTCTTTTTTTAACTTTTTTTGGTCAAAATTTAGGGTTTTTCTTCAATAGCTTCCAGGTCATGTGACCTATTAACTCAAAATCGGTGAAATTATTCTACTAAACTATATAGATGAGGCATATTTATATTCCATTTTGACCCCTTTTTATTTCTTAACCAAAATTATATTTAAAAAATATTTTTTAAAAAGTTCATAAAATATATTACCTCACATAAGAACATTTGTAACCTGTAATGTTCAATTACATAAAATTCTAGGACTGGATCCATTTCATTACATGTTTACTTACCTGAAATATGTTAAATACAACAAATATTTATTAAAGTGTGATCTGTTTCATAAAATTTACTTGTCACCTTTATTGTTTAATTACACATTAAATGTTCAAAGTTGGGCTTTTTCATCTGGTTTGCGTCATAATGTGGCGGTGGACGTACTTTATGTGGATGTTATTTTAATGAACTACACCAAGGGGGCCCAAAGTGGGTCCTCAAGGGCCGGCATCCTGCATGTTTTAGTTCTCTCCCTGGTTTAACGCACCTGCATCAAATGATGGATCATTAGAGACCTAAAAGGAATATTGACAAGCTGAAAAGGTTGTTGCCCTCCAGGACCGACTTTGGACACCCCTGAACTAAACAGACTAACTAAATCCAAAGTCCAGGGAAAACAAGGAAATCCAAAACACAATGAAACAGGAGACAAGGGATAACAAAGGTAACATGAAGATCTAAACCAGTGTTTCTCCACCCTGGTCCTCAGCCCCCCTGTCCTGCACGTTTTGGGTGTTTCCCTTCTGCCACACCTGGATTGTATCTCTGGGTGATTAACAGGTTTCTGCAGGACTTGATGGTCCTGCAATCATTTGAATCAGTTGTTCTGGGACAGAGGCTCATCTAAAACATGCAGAGCAGGGGGGCTGAGGACCAGGGTGGAG